CAAGTTCTGTTAAGTAACACCTATCATTCCACTGTGTGTCACCTGCAGAACAGGTGATTTGGCCACTACTATCCACTTGATATCTTTGGGAGGGTAGAATAGCTTACTGTTTGTCATATTCTTTCTCAGGAGAGAGAATAATAATTATTGTTCAGATTCTGGAACAAACTTCAGCCAATTAAGGCTAGTTCTAGCCTTGAATCCAACCTGAAGGATTGGCCCAGGGGAAAAATGCTATTACTAACAATTCTAACTAAAGATTTGTTTTAATGTAATTTTAAGATCTTTTTTTCTTCAAATCTTGACTCTTCGGATCATCTCTATTAATTGGCAACAGCAACTACTATATGAAATAGAATGATATGGTCTTATTTTCTCAGCCAGTTTGGTGTTTGAATCATAATCTGAATGTTATATAAGAGGTAGGTATATTATAAAATTGCCTGACTTCAAGTCTAATGAGCCATTTACTCAATTAACATTTACAATTGAAAAGGAAAAGAACTACTGTGGAAAAAAATGGGAAAAAAAATAGATGGGGGAAGCTAAATAATAAGATCAAAACATTTGTTGGTTTTCTTTTTTCATTTTCCTGTTAAATTCAATGGAAGACTTTCATACAAAAGAAAGAAAGTGAATATTGAATCAGGGGAATTTTTAAATTATGTAAAATTTCTGCCTATAATAGTCATGTGTGGGGAAAAGTATACTATTATAAAACTTTTTAAAAAGGTTATTATGATTATTATTCTTGGAAACCTTGTGCTATAGAAAAGTTAAATTTGTCATTCTCAGAAGCCAGTTCCACCAGCAAGAGGATTTGCATTGTAATTTTTAAAAATTTTTTTAGAAAAAGATTCTGCGCTAGGACTCTAGCTGCTCTGGACACGTTCCTAGAATTTGAGGTTCGACGTTGGAAGAGATGGAGGAAGCAGTTTGCAAACAGTCATGACACTCTGAACCACCAAAGGCAAATCAGAGCAAACAGAAATAAATGCTGGATGCCAGAAGGATTGTTGATTTGTTCTTGCCTGATACGGTCCCGGGGACATTTAAGGGGATGTTACCAGTCTATAAAGGAGACTTCAGTGAAATTCAAAGACACCAACTAGTTTGAGAATAGCAAAAAGTGTAGTTCCAGCATAGGACTAGTAGGACGTAGCTAAGTTACAAAGCTTTAGAAGTTCATGAATAAACACTTGAGAGCCTTCGGTAGCTATGAGGACAAGTTTGGTAGACCTGAATAATAACCCTGAAACCCAAATGACCTTGACTTGACATTTCCATAGCTGCAATGGTGAGTCAGCATAAGTGTCTAATCATTCCTTGCGACTCATTAACTAATACTCTCTTCCTTTATTCACATACAGAATGTCCTGCTTCCTGTGTCAGGTGCAGGAGCCACTGCCTAACACCCAGTTTTGTTTCTGAAAACTCCTGGGGTAGAATCATGTGTGGTTCAAATCCTTCTGGGATAAAAAAAAATGTTACTGCACTGTGGCTGGGAGTGACTCTATGAAAGTCTTTGTAAATGTTTGCACAAACACTAAAATGTTTACACAAATGAAGTAACATTAGAGACTACTGTATATTTCATCTCTTGCTCCAGAGAAATAGTTTAGCTTCTGCCTTCCTGGCAGTTTAAATAAAATACTTATAAATTATTTTGTTTTATTTCATGAAGTTGCATTCTCACAGACATTTTTTTTCTAGTCTGGTCTCCAAATCAAACATTAATGCCTTCCTAGTTTTAAGAATCAGAACTGTTAACTGCTGCCTCCAAATCCCAGAAATACAAAGTAATTGGGATGCTTGAGATTTAACAAAGCTTTGGGTAATCTCTGTTTAACTTTCCTGACATGTTGAAAGATATTTCTCAAATTCTCTCTCTAAAGCAACTCCCCTAACAGTTCAAGCCCGTTCTGCAAACAGTTTAGCTTCAGGAATATATTAAAAGTCCCAGTTGTTTAGGTACCTTTAGTTTTCTTTATATGTCCTAAGGCAAAATCTTTAACCATGTCCTTTAAGGTGGGGCTTACTGTTCTTTTATTCTTCCTAAGACTCACTTCTATGTCTCTCCATTTATCATGAAATAGAAGAAATTCAGAAGTTTCATATACTAGAGTTAAAACTCCCATTGTTGAGCAAATGATTTGCTAGGTTCAATAGAATTTGCTTCAGAGAAACTCAGAGCTTTGAAGAGTTTGCTCTATTAGCAGAATCACGTCTTACTCCGAGGCTGAGATCCAAAATCACCACACCACAATAAATATTGTCTGTAGTCTAAATTAACTTCAAAATCTCTTAATTTCCCCAAGAAAGAGAAAATTGCACATTTCATGGTATGTCTAATGATATATCTAGCTCTGGAACAGTGCTGAATACCAAGTGAGGCAGTTGGCTAACATTTGGGCCCCATGTTGAAATGAAAACACAGATAATTGAAATTGTTCAAGATCAATGTTCTTACGATGTGGGTTCTATTCTGATTCTAGAGAATAAGTTAGTGCTGGGCACTCCTGCTTAGAGGTTTAGAATCCTTTGTGGCCTACAGCAGGATACAATGGCAACTACTGCAAACCTAAGAACTTTCTTTGGAAGGTTAAATGAAGCTCTAGGCTCTGAAGTTGCACCAGAGCAATTCAACCTCAGTGTTCACTGACTTAACATCACATGAGTGACATTCCAATCAAATTTTCCCTATGGTGAAGAAAACTCAGAATAGTATTTCAGTAACATTTACAAAGTTAACTTAAAATCTTCATAATGAAGGTAAAAATGATTTATTAGATGTTTTAAGTGGTTTATTTTTAAATGACAATTTAAAAAAATTGCTTTCCAGTAAAAAGTAAAAGATTCTTATTGTACTCAATGAGCTATAAATATCCTGTCTTTTTCTTTGTCTAAATTATAATTTCCATTTGTTTAACATCTAATTTAGTTCTATAAATATCCCAAGCCATTTTGATATTTGCTCAAATGTGCCAAGTACTGACCTCTTTACCAAATTAGGTCTGTGATCAACTCAGGAAAAATATAATATGCTTAAATTCTGAATATTATTTGTCTAGCAAGGCTAAGCAGTTAATCTTTAAATGATCTAAACCTTTCTAGAATCTGTGGCTATTGGTGGACTTAACAATTAAAACACTTCAGATCATTTATTTCAAAAATATCTCTAAAACAGTTACTTATAATATTAGTTAAACCAAAAGATTTATTCTGCAGTTTCAAATTATGATTTTATTAGTTGTTTATAGAACTATTGATAGTAATCAGATAAGAATGCTTACATTAACAATTTGTTTTCGGAAAACTATTTAGAAAGTTTATCAGAGAAATACTTCTAAAAATACAAAAAGCCTTTTAAAAATTAATCTAGGACAAGTTATTGTAAAAGTTTTAGATAACATAAATAGATGGAAAAACTCATCTCTCATAAATAACCTCTATTAATATAGTGATGTAATCCTTTCTTGTTTTTTTCAACACATAAATACACATATGCTTATTAACAGACCCTCCCAAAGCTGAGTTCAGTGAATACATACAATTTTGTAACCTGCTTTTGGTCCATTTAGACATTTATCACATATTCATTAAATTTTTAGTATGTGTTTGTTATTTTAATGAAATGGACTGTAAGTTACAAACAGATGCTTCTCTAAAGTATATTGAGTTTGTTTTTCCTAAAAGTTCTCTTTTTCTGTTTTCATTTCAATGGAAAACCAAAAGATATTTGCCAATGAATAATAACTTGGATGCTCAAACGGTGAGTTGCATTTAGAAATGATACATGTTTTTATTAACTATTCAGTAAATTGTATAGTCAGTTAGGGTCAATTACATTTCAGAGAATCTATAAGTTCAGAGATTCTCCTAGATGTTTGCATGTATAATTTCATCTAATATAACTCCATTATCCCCAGCTTTACACTGTAACACTGAAATTCAGTGTAGTTTTCTAATTTTTCTGTAGAATTAACATTTACTAGCAGCAACTCAGAATGTGTTACAAGGCACGTTTCAGCTTTCAAAGTGTTTTTTTCCACTTATTTTATGTTATTTAACCAATTTTCTTAAAAATGTATATAAAAACTAACAATAGTGTTATTTTTATTGACTGCTGACTACAAACTTTGAGGTAAGTATTAGTTTTATTTGGTTTAATTTTCAGATAATAACCTGGAGGTTGAGGGATACCAAGTACCTTGTCCACAGTTCAGCAGCAATGGGACAGGTGTGACCCAAACCTCTGGTTTCATCTTGTTCTCTTTCTGCTTGACTACCGCACCACTGGGAGAAGTGAAACTTGGGCTGAGTGTACAAGAGGCACCCAAAATAACCATGGTGTGTTTATGTTCATTTAAAATCATAAAATTAGTGTAGGAAAGAGTCTTCTAGAATGACTGCTTACATGGATTAAATATATCAGATAAATGTATCTCTCATTCATTTTCTGATATGAAACATGAATTACATGGTACACTAATGGAAATAGGTCCTTTACAGAAAGAATTCTATAGTGATGATCATTTTTCTGATTTTTCTCACAATTGGCTCATAAATCTGGCCCCCAATACAATATGCGGGTCAACTAATTTCCAAGTGTCTTGGATTTCATGGTTTATGTTCTTTGTAATTTTATGAAGATACCCAACAAATCCACCGATATTCTGATATTATCATATACTTGTTCTACATTATTATATTCATCAGACTAAGAAGGAAACACGTTGAGCCCTGATCATCACCTCTGATTTCCTCCCATGAAGGGAAATGATAGCCCTTTTTGGTATGTCTAAGGGGATTGTTCAATGCAGAGACTGGATTGTCTTCTCAGGCCCCACCTGATTCTCCTCCCTCCCATGTTTGTCTGTGCTGAGACAACCACTTGTAGCATTACAGCCTAACTTACAGTCACATCGTTCTCAATCTTTGCCTTTTCATTCTGCTAATGATTGTGTAATATGTTGCTTTCTATGCCTTTCTGTACTCACCATTTGCCATCTCTCCATCAGTGGCTGAATTATTTCTGCTCCATCAGCATGCTCCCAGGCCTAGGGAAAACGAGTGGGTGATTCAAAGCCTATTTGCAAGGAAGACTCTTTCCCCTTTGCACTTCAAATCTCAAACCTATCTTCATACAAGCAGCCCTATGATACTTTCTGAGTAACCCAATTTAACATTCTTAGAGGCCATTAGAGCTCTAATATTATAATAGATTCCTTCATTCGAATTATCTTTTATTTATTTCTAAGATGTAGAAATAATGTCAGAGACAATTTTTCCTAGTGTCTTGCCATGATTTGTTTTGATTATGTATTATGGGCACACACAGCAAGCTTCTCTATTATAATACCCAACACCTAATACGCATCTGTCTCCCTGGCAAGGCTGGGCTTCTTGTGGCTCATTCACATTAGTGCCCCCAGAAGCAAGCCCGATGCATGACATACAGTGGTCAGGAAAAGTCTGATGAACATATGAGTGAATGAATGAATCAATGATGCTCCCTTGTGCTACTGAAAAGTCAATTTCATTAAAATGGTGGCTTTACATTGCTATTAAAGAAAAGTAAATTTTAGTTATCCTAGCTTTATAGAATTGATTTCTACACATTCTAGAAAATTTGTTCTTATATTTTACAATATTCTACAATATAGTTTAATGTAAAATTATAAATATGAAGCAAAAGAAAAGCCAAATTCATAAAAGAATTTAGCAATACCTAGTTAAAAACAGACGTGGTTCCCTTCAGCAAGATTTCCTGTTCAAACCATGTCAGTAAATAAATGTTTAACCAGCAATAAAACTGATGTTTATATTTACATGGCATTCAATTTATATTGTACAAAAGCTAAATTCCCCATCCCCAATAATACTTTTTATTCTTTGACATTAGTCTACAATAAATGGCACAGTTGTGCTAAAAAGAAAGAAAGAAAGAGAAATCCCATAATAAAAACCATTCACTATGCCAAATATGTCATTACATTTTTTTTCCTGTTCAGCTGCCAGATGTATTGCATTATATTATCAAATTGATAGATCTAGTGTTATTTCTACATTTACCATTTTACAACAACAAACAGAAATATAAGGAAGCTTTGGTAACAAATCTTGCTCAATATGTATGTGAAGTAGACACTTTGTCTAAAAGAAAAATATAACTGATGACAGATTTCATTTCAGTCTGCTAGTGCTTACTAAGATGTCTACAGACAAAAAGCCATATCTGGGTACATCTCTTTCTGCAAACAAAGGAAAGGTTTAATTGCTTTAATCAGCATTTGCATTGTCTTTGGTGGTGACATACAAAAACAGTTCAGGTCTAATCAGGAAATGTCTTCCAGAGGAGAATTCTTCAGCTTAGACTTTAAGTGAACCTAATAACATATTTCCTATAATTCTTGAATAAAGCTTAACAATGTAATACTGTGCTGACTTCTATTTAAATTATTCCTAAGCCATTAATAGAAAGCCTGGTGCTGTTTTTTGCTATGTCCTTATTAGGAATATCATTTTCAGACATAAAAATGGTTTCCATAAAATGAAAAAGTAGACTGAGCAATCAACCTCAAGTGTCAGTATTACAATTTTTTTCATCAACAATATCTTAAACATAAAGAAATCTTTGCTTCAAAGGTAGTCTTTTCAATTTAGTTTCTCAAATAGGTATTACATCCCTACTAGGTGAAAGACACTGTTATAAACTAAAAATATATATTAAAAAGAATAAGAGAACTCTACGACATTTAAATAAATCTGCAGCCTGAGGTATTTGACTAGGAACATTTTCAAAACTCCTGGAACTGTAATGTGGTGTATATAAAAAAAAAAGCCATTTACTAAATACAAATGTTCCCACAACCTTCAATAAGGCAAAAGATCCTTCAATTTATGTCCCAGTATCTTATATATATCACTTGCATTCTGTAAATACTGCAATGACTCCATTCAGGAAATAAATGTTCTCATTAATGGAAGTATAGTGTAAAATGTGGTATGGAATGGAAAATGAGCTTCAAAATTGGGAAAAGCAAGATGCAAAGCCTTCTTTAGTCTATCTCGTTGGAGTTGTCTAAGCTTAAGCAAGTTATTTTTCATATCTCTGGGCTTCAGTTCACTCATTTTTAAAACGAGGATTCATTTGTTTTTGTTCAACAAAAAAATCATGGGGCCTTTTCTGTGGCCCAGGCACGAGTAACACACAGGTCTTGTCTTCATGATATTTGCCACCCAGCATGCTAATGTGTATTAATCGAAAAATTACATGGACAAACAGGGTTATTGCAGTGTGTCAGAGGCTACACAGAGGAAACTTAACAGTTCTTTGGACGCCTATGTCTTCAGACAGTGCAGTTGACATTGAAAGTGGAATCGAGTCAGTAATTCAAGTGTGTATTCCTATAAGAAAGACCTGCAGGGATGGTTTGCAGGAAGTTGTCTGCATGCATTGAAATTGACTTTGCTTTACTTTTCTTTTTATCTTTCTTGGCTGTAATAAACTTACTGCCAGAGCATGAAGTCCCAAGTCATGACGATAGCCTTCCTCCAAAGACTGTGTGACTTTGGACAAATTACTTCATCTCTGGGTGTCTCGATTCATTCAGTTCCTAAGTAAGGACTTATGTCATGGCCTATTTAGATTAAACAAGTTATTATTTGTAGGGTTCTTAGAAGAATACCCAGCATATAAATACTGTTGTTGTTGCCATCACCTGGTCCTCACAGCATGTCCAGGAGACAAACTGATGCAAAAACAACAGAAATAGAAAACTGCAAACACCCATGCCTTATATTTTAACAAAAAAGATAAAAAGTTAATTCAAGGTAGCTTTGCTGCATGTTAGGAAAGACAATGCTTTTTTTTTCTTTCAATGCTCTTTCTTCCTTCTTCCTCCCTTCCCTGAACTGGGATGACCTGATTTCCTGTCAATAGGTAGACATGGGGAGAGATTCTGGTCATGAGGGAAAGCAAACTTGCTTGCACCAAACCAGTCCTTTCTTCCTGGAGTCATGCTATAACTTCCTCCCTAGAAACTCCACAAGTATTGAGCACAAGGATAATTAAGGAAAGACCTTCCCTTTCAAGGAGCCTCTACCCTAGTTGGTGAAGAAAACAAGACAAAACTACAAAAGCACACATTTCAACAGAATAGCATTTACAAAATAATCCACATGATTATCTGCTCCATGAATATAAAAATCAAGGCTTATTTATCTTTATGACCCCCAGAGCCCGATAATAATGCTCAATAAATGTTTGCTGGATTGAGTTGAATACATTAACAAGCACAAACAAATAAGAGTTTGAGCAAGTAATTGTCCAAAGAATTTCACATCAAGGAGTGATCACAGTGGAACTCCTGGGTCCCCATCAGAACCCTGGTAGATGTGGGGAACCCCCAGCTTCCTTTTGTGAGCTCCTAATGAGCCAATCACCATGGAGTCACTGAGGAGCAATAAAACCAAATGGTTCATGCTAGGTACCCTTAGGCAGTCCAGAGAGTCTACCCAATATTTAAGACATTTAGTAGGGAACTTTTCTTCCTTCTAACACCACGCCCTGGTTTGAAAGACTTGTTTTCTGTGAATGATTTTATAAGTAATTATATTTATAATTAAATCAATGCCAACTAGTCACAATTTCATGCCTTCATTTATTGCAAAATTAAACATTTTCCTAAATGTAAATATTAGTATGCCAGTCTTTGTGGCATCTGGGCATGGATAGAGCTGTACATGGCACTTACCAATTTGGAGCAGAGAGTTTCCTTTTTTTTTAATATTTTTATTTTTTATTGCATTTTAGGTTTTGGGGTACATGTGCAGAGCATGCAATACAGTTGCATAGGTACACACATGGCAGTGTGGCAGAGAGTTTCTTTATCCATCAAAGGGAAGTACAATTCTGGTGGTGGTGCACTGGACACGGGCTTTAAGTTAGACAAGAAAATTCTATCATCTTTTAGATCATGCTGTTCCTTACTTGGCCCTTTTTGTCTAAAAATAATAAAAATAAACATTTTTTCAGTTTATGCCATCTGCCAAAAGCAAAGGTGACCACTTAATTCTGCTTTTCTAAGATTAAAAATATACACTATATTGAGGATACAGGTTATAAAGGAAATGTTGGTAGATTTCAGGCAGGTATCCTCTCTAGTTATCTTCAGTTGTTCTGACTCTCTTACAGCCTTGTTCCTCAAAGTGTGGTCCTTGGACCAGCTGCATCAGCATCACATAGGAAATTCATGGAAATACAGAATCTTAGGTCTCATCTCAGACCTAGTGAATCTGAGTCTGCATTTCAGCAAGAACCCAGATGATGTGCATGCACATTGCAGTGTGAGAAGCACTGTCCTAGGACATAGTATTGGAGGCTCAATTGGGTAAAATACCCCTGGAACCCAGCTAGACTGAAATGTGGTTGGATCACTTGTTGGTCATGTGACATCAGATGGCTACCCCAACCAGAAGTGCCCCAAGGAATCTTTTAGGTGCTTAGTGACAAGAAGTCTAATCCATTCAATGGATTCTTAAAATAATTACCAGACGAAAATCCCTGATGAAAAGAGAGGGAAAAATGAAGTCCATTACTGATTTGGAGTTACTACAGAAAATCATGCACAAGCAAGGGAAGGCAGAGATGCCTGGCACGCTTCTCTATTGAGCGGGCACTATCAGAGGGATAAAGGCATAGAATTTACATAAATATGGAAAGGCAACTTTTTACTTTTGTGAATATTTGCCAACTAGGTAGTCAGAGAAGCCTGGAGAAGGCCTGTGTTCAATAGATACTATCATCAGTCAGGAGAGTTTTGTTGTGTTTGTTTGTGAAGTTTTCAAGCTAATCTGAGTATTATGGTAACAGAATTCTATGTGCATTAAGCTGTTGAGAAACTTTATATAAAATATTTATATTTTATCTGCTCTTGAATAAAACTTTATTCTCTCCAGTAGGGCTATTGTCTGTTGCACACCTTGTGCCTATTATCAGTCACAGAGTATCAGTACTGAATTATTCTGTCAAGTGTAAATCTAGGAACTTTACACC